CCTCTATAAGCAGGAGCTGGCTCTCGCCCATCACCTTCATGTACACCAAAATATGAAGTCATCTCCAGTCGCAACCTGACTGGAGAAGACCTTTGGAATTCATGTCACCTCCAAACAGCTGCGAAACTTCTAGTATGGAGTCACCCATGGATAGCTACCTGGAGACCAGTACTCTCGATCTGGAAGACCTCCAACATCGAGCAGCTCCGACAACGTCGCTACGGTCTAGGACATCATCTTCACCGTAGTCGCCAAGGCGCGAGTTGATGGTATGGACCGGACGTACCTGAAAGGGAAGACCGATATTTTCTTCGTGGACCCGGACTGAAGGTGAGCGCTGGCGGTTACATCGAGCAACTCGAGAAGAATATCCTCCCCACATGTCGTCGCCCGTACCTTCTTGGAAACTTTGTACTGCTACAGGATTGGGTGCCACCACATGGAATCAAGGGCGTTGGAAAAACTCTCGCCTACTTGGAATGGAAGGGCGTTGAGTACCTGAAGAAGATGGAATATTCAAGTATGTCCCCTGACCTAAACTCTCTCAATTACCGAGTTCGGGCGGAGCTCAACAAGGTGGTCTGCAGTGGCCGAGAAATCAGCTATCTCGCTGAAGCCAGGTACCGAATCACGGTTGCGTGGCAGAATCTCTCGACGGCGCTCCTCCAGAAGGCTGTGGCGGAGTGTCATGATAGTATTTAATATGCTGTTGGTTATGGTGGTAGAATGGTCCGATCAGAATTTAATGACTTTTTTGCCCCCCCCCCCCCTGTATGTCTTACGGCGCCAGTCTTTGTTCGCTGCTGGTGATGAGGCGTGTCAAGGCGGCCGCGTTTGGTGCGGTGTCAATGAATACTTTTTCCCTTCGGCAAGCGACAGGCTGTGTCATATCGTTTGTATCAGTCGTTTAATACCAGTTGTTCTCAATTACCTGGTTCAACAAGAGGTGATTTGGCACTGCACGCAGCCGCGCGGACACGCCTCATCATCCGCGTGGACCAAACTGTACCTTTCCGTTCTTACATTCTTGACATTTGATGAGAATCAAGTCGGATAACCCGCCCGGCGTCAGCAAATCGCTGGATTCTCTTAGTTGGCATCCATCCATCCATCCTGATTGGGAATCAGGGATATTAGAGCCAGTGGAGCTTACGGCTGTTCTGTTCACGACTGAGAGGCACTTACTGACTATTCCTAGCCCCAAAAACTCAGTTTTTCACTGAACGTTGCCAACCTGTAGTTAAAATGCCCTGACATCGCAAAGTCGTGAAACTTGTATCACCTGTATCACCTGTGCTCCCGTTGATCATCGAGTTCCTCGAGCGGGCGCCAGTAACGTCTCCATTCGTCCCTGCAACGTGCAAGAGTTGCCCAATGAACTCTCTCAGCTCGAGGGACACGATGAACTTCATACCGTTCGTTCAGAGCTTTTGGAGACATCAGATGAATTCATACGTTCGTTCATAGCTTTCACTGAAGATCGTACTATTCGCGAGGCGGCGTCCCAGGCGTTCGCTTAACATCCGTTGAATCCAGTCCGGTTGATTTTGGGTCGTCAGCGGTCGTCCTCGAAACGCATGACGTGTCCGGCCCACCTGATCTTCGAAACCTTGGCAAATGCGGCGGCGTCTCTGATCTTCGATCGTTGGCGGAGTGCGGAGCTCCGGATTCCCTCTCTCACTTGCGTGTAGCGGGAAACTCCGAGCATCGCCCTTTCGATGGCGCGTTGAATAACGCCGACCGCATGCTCATCCTGCTTTCGTAGAGTCCAAGTCTCTGAGGCGTACGTCAAGGCAGGAAGGACCGCGGAATCGAAGAGGTGGGCACGGAGCTTGGTGTTCTTCGTCTTCTTCGCTACTCCCTCGATGTTCTTGAAGGCTCCCCAAGCCGCTCGCTTCCTCCTGCTCAGCTCTGGAGCTAAGGTCATTTCAATCATAGGAATATTCACGACCTTATGGTAACACGATACGCTAGAGCTTCAGTATGATGTGCGTTTCCGTTGAGCGTGAATGGGGCATCAGATACCAATCCGTTTCTCATAAACATCGTCTTCGTTAGATTCAGCCGTAGACCGATTCTTCCACACGCGCAGTCGTTCAGCCAGCATTTGTTCCGCGCTTGCTCGATGTTTGGTGTTATCAAAACGATGTCGTCAGCAAGAGATCGTATAGTTGCCCGAGCCATTCAATTACTTCACTTCGCGAATGTCTTCCGCCATTCAAGATGACGCATGACGTTCTCAAGAGAGGCGCTGAAGAGCTTGGGCGAGATGGTGTCGCCCTGTCGGACCCCTCTCTTCACATCAATGATGATCTCCTTGTAGAATGGTGAGATCTTGGTCGTGAAGTTGCTGTAGAGCTCACGAAGAATCCTGATGTACTGTAGGAATACCCTGGTTGCCCAGGGCTTCGATAACCGCTTCTGTCTCAACGGAGTCGTAGGCTTTTCTTCAAGTCGATGAACGTGAGGCATCTTGTACTCTCGCGATACTTCGATGAGCTTCGTTACCGTGTGGATGTGATCGATCGTGCTGAATCCTCTTCGGAAACCCTGCTTGCTCGCATGGCTGTCCTTCGTCTAGTGTTCTTCCAATCCTGTTAAGGATGACTCGTGAAGAGTTTGTAGACTACAGACAGCAGGCAGATTGGGCGATAATTGCCAATGTCGTACAGGTCTCCCTTCTTGTACAGCAACACAGTCTTGCTGGTTTTCCACGAGGTGGGTACCTTGCATTCCGACAGGTAGCGTGAGTCGAGCCAGAGTTTTGACGAGAACTGGCGGAAGATTCTTCCATGTTCGGGTCTGACTAATCGGGACCGGTTCTGTACTCTTCTTCACCCGGCGAGAGTGCGTGTGCGTGACTTCGAAGAGAGAACTGCAGAAACACATATCCATCCTGCTCCCAAGCGGTTAAGGTTGCACGGTGGACGCTGGCTAGCAAAGAGAATTAGTAAGTTCGTGATGACATTCTCAATTGATCTTCTGGATGCGGTGATTGTTCCATCCGGACGTGGGAGGGTGGTCATCTTGGTCTTACAGCTGGCGAAGTCGCGGCGGGAGTTGCGTATGCTCTCCCAGCCTCTGCGGCTTCCACCAGTACTGCTGCTCTTCTCTCCTTGAGGTCTTCCTTTATCGCTCCTCTGCATAGCTTCGCAAGCTCAGACGTCAGCTGGTAATTGCCTGCGGCTCGTGCGGCTCCACGTTGGCGAATCAGCTCGAGAGTTTCCAGAGATAGACGCTTCTTGGTAATCTTGGAACCCTCTTCTTTGCGCGCGTGAAAATTGTGCGGCAGCCGTATTGTTAATCCTTGTTCGATGTGTCGATAAAACGAGATCCTGCTAGAGCTCAGCGAAGAAGTGAAGTGATCACAGATGATGAACGGTCTTTGTAGCTTCGCTTCTGGATTTCTTTGCGGCATATTTCTCCTCTTATCTAAGCGCAAGTCTTCGCGAATGGAGAGCGGTGGTCGGAATCGCCGATGTAAGACACTTTAGGAGCAATGGCGGCCTCGGTGGCAAACCTCGATGAAATGATTGGTCGATATCTCATTATGAATTCCACCAGAGAGATCTGCACATGTCCAGCGTAGAGTAGTTGGCTTTCGGAACTGCGAGTTACCATGGATGGTATGGGTCGACATGATAAACTCAGACAGCCTTTCGCCCGAGCGGTCCCAGCCGACGTCGCCCTGTCGGTGGTTCCCTCAGGTCAGGGGAATGAGGCCCATAATTGTTACTGTTTTTGGCGAGAAGAAAGTTTAACCACGCGTAGCTCGCCAGGCTCTGACGTGGCACCCTCCGCATTGGTACGTTTTTGGAACAGTCCAAAACCGTTCACCCCCACGCCACGATGAGGCTGCGGATAGGATTTGTGGGGGAAAACTTGTATATGGAGGTTAGTCGACATCCTGATCACGAATATCACACTCGTTTTGAGCCCTGGTGCCATTTGGCGCCAAAGAGCCGTCGACACAACATCAGAAAACGACCAGCTTCTGAGAGCGATTTTCAAAGAAGGCACTTTCCCACGGTAGGAAGTGATCCGGCTGTGGGAACGGTGGACGATCGGTGGACGGGTCATATCAAGTTACTGATGCGATCATGGATAAAGGGTTATTTCAGTGTCGTATTCGTGATCAGGACCTCAATTAACCCACACATACAAGTTTTCATCGATTTTGGTGAAAAAGATGGTGGCGCCAAGTTGGCGCACAATGGCGCCAAATAGCGCCAGGGCATCGAACTACATTTATACGCAACGTTCCAGCGAAAGTTTTTTTTCTGAGTTTTAGAGGTAGGAATAGTTCAATAAAGCCTGGAGGAGTTGTTGGACTTCGAGGACGGGACCAATGACCTTCTATGACATCCTTCCTTTCCTTTCTGATCCCTCCTCCTTTACCTTCTCCCTCCAACTACTGGACTGGTAGATGCCTCGTGAAAATGCCCCTGGACCCTCGCAGCGAGAGCACGTCTGGTTGACAACAGCCCCGTAACCCACTGTTATCGCGTCATAAAACGGCCCTCGCGAGCGGGTTGACATGTCGAGCTTTTCGAAAACGTTGTCCGAACTGCAGACCTTTCTGTTCACCGTAACCACGCGCCATCGCTGAATTTGTATTCCGTACTGCTGTGGACTCACGGACGTTCCTTTTTATTGAAATGAGTGCTCATTTTCAAGCTGAATAAGAACTTTAAACATTTTTCTGCAGTATGTGCTTTCAGTTTTCTCTATCACACTGTATTCGTAGCCTTATACCACGAAAGCGAACAGCTCAGAATGTTGTTGTGTTTTGCACAAGCAATTTCCCTATACGCATGCGTGGCCACATTTTTAGAACATAATGTGTAGATTTGAAGGGGAGCGTTCCTCCGTCCTTTTTTCTCGTGCAATGTCGAGGTTTCTTTTTCGTAAACAAGGCGACTCATAATGAGGACAACTGCTTGTAAAATGATAAATTTTCAAATTTTAAATGATTTCAGTATTCGTTGTAATTTGAGGAGATGACCGATGAAGAAAGCAAGACAGCCAAAGCAGGAAATCGGCATGGACGGCGAAGCTTTTCCTCTCGCTCGAACAAGCGTACGTTCTATTTGTGTTTTCGATGTTTTCTTTCTTTGCTATATCTTCTCACAGGTTTTGAATTATGACTTGGTACCATAAAGATTTTGAATGTTCTCGAAGCGTGGGGCGATTTAATCGAAAAGCCGCGACATTCTTTGGAGACAACCCTCTATACACATATCCATCCACTGAGTGCGATGGACTCGCCAAGAAGCCTAGATATTGTTTGCGGGGAAACTTCACACTAGCTTCAGACGTGAGGTCAAACATATCCACCGGCAATATTGAATCTTCCCATGGTTCCCATAACATTATACTATCCTTTCGGAATGCAGCTTAAAAGCAATTTGCACGATGAATCCCTAAAGATGAGTAGGATTGATACCCTGGCAGGGAGTTCCGCGCCCCATAAGGAGGCTGCGCAGCGCCCTTTCCAAGGAAGGTACCCTTATAAGGGCCCTATCAAGCTACAACATACCGACCCGAACGCCCACCACGCCCGCCCGCCCACAAATGGACGACCGTTCCTGACGCTCGTATTGATTCATTTGCTAAGCAAATTATGAAGCGAAGGGATTGGTATGAAGCGGCCGTGATGCTGCATTATATATGAGTACACACATGCAGCCGTATCTTCGGTAGCGGTTATTGGCAAGATGCCTATGGGAAACTCGTCCGAAATTGATTTTTAATCATTGAGAACGAAGGCTTTTCTTCGCAGGATTGTTGACCGTTTCACTCCAGTCTTTCACCACTTTCCCCACTATATAGCGCCTGCTGGCATTTTAGGCCGAGTAGCAAATTACCGTGCCAACTGCGTTTAAGAATCAGCACGATTCATTGCCAGCCTGAATCGCTTTCTACCGGAAACACATCAGGCCGTGGTTAGCAGCAATGTCCGGTTGTCGTTGTGTTGCTGTGAGGGGTTAGGGGAGGGGGTGGATGTGCACTCACCAGCGAGCCCCAGTAAGTTCATGATCTGATGTGACAATGCGATGCGCAGCATCAAGGGAAGAGGCAGTGAGAGGATGATACATTGTGACGTTGACTAAACGAACTGAACCATACAGGAGATGCTGCGCTGTGTTTGAGAAGGTGCGAACGAGCAGACATGACGCGGTTCACTGATGCAAAGTGGAGGTCTTTTAGCTTTGATGCGCACCAGGCATGAAGTCCGATTTAGGCACCAGCCTAGCTAGGGAGGACTACTCGGCCACGCCTTTGTATCCTTTCAGATAGACCTGTATGCCTCTACGGTCTGCATGTTCGACTTTGAAGCGTTGCCACCAACGGATAGTCGACTGGTGTCCGGACTAATAACCCCCGTATACCTTCTTCACTCTAGAATCGTAATCATGCTAAAGCGAAATGATAAAATAAAATTATTGTTTTCAGAGGCGTTCCGTGGTGGTAGGCGACGTTATGGTGGTGAGTTCATGTACCCCACTGGTGGAACAAAAGAAGATCCTCTCAATCTCAACGCGGTGATATCTGGCGATGAATCAGTTTCTACCAAAGAATCGGGCGCCGCGGTGTCTAAACCTATTGAGGTAAGTTACAAATCAAACTTTCTTACAAGACGGCTATTTCCACGGCTTTTAGTCGATAGGAAGCTGTGGGAATTCCAGTAATCCATGTGCATCACAAAACTACCTCTTCTTTTTTCTCTGTTATAGCAAAACAAACCCCGTTTTATACTTCATTTTCTCCATGATTGGATATCGGGGCACGAGTAGAAGTCTGTTGAGATAGAATACATTGGTTATCCACTAAATATTAACTCTGCGTATCCATGGGATAAGAGAGCTGGCGAGTAAGCCGCTATATCCAATACTACTGGTATACAACAGAGTGTTTGCATAGTGCTGCACTTATCAACTATTGAAATACTGTTGAATTCTTCAGCATTTTAGCATAAGTAGCGTAGGGGTAGCGGTGCAGAAATGTTTTGGAAGCTATTTCAGATTTCACGGGTATTGTATTTCAGGTGGTTATTCCGAAGAATATGAAGGATCCTCTCAATTTAAATGGTATAGAGAAACAAAGGAAGAAGTGAGTTAGTTAGATGAAATTTTCATTGTTTCGCACAAGACTAGCACTAACTGAACTATGTGTACTGCAGGAGAAAACATCAAGAAGAAACGTCCATGGCTGAAGATGAAATCGTCTCCCCTGTACAACGTAAGCAGGTGAGAATGGTCTTTTCTCCTTTTATTCTTTCGTCTCAGTTTTGGTTACCTTTAAAATACTTCTGTTTTTCTGAAAATACGAGAACAATCAATTTTTCCCCATGTAAAAAGGGTTCCGAAGCGTGGAAACTCAGCATCTATATTCCTTTAGTATGGTGTCATTACTATTTCGAAAGTTTGGGAAGAAGTCCTACGAAGTCGGCTAAAACTGGAAAATCAGCACTTCGTCGTTTTCGAAGGGAGCACAATATGACGGCAGGCAGGGTACAGATTCGTGATGTATGGGGCAGCGATGTCAGTACTATCCTTCGCGCAGGTGCTGAAGAGGTTTACTCATTCGGTTCGACCTACCTTCCCTATCCTACCTATCATCCTCCGTTTTGCCAACTTCCTACCCCCCCCCCCCTTACCCAAAATATTTTCTAGCCCTTTCCACAAAAGTTTCCTTTAGCAGGATAGGCGAGTAGAGAGGGGAGGTTGGGGTGGGGAAGATCGTCATGAATCAACTATTGATTTCATCTATCAGAGAAATACCTGGATGGTTTTCTAAGAGGCAAATACGACCCTGTTTCCCTGTGGCTAATCACAATCACCCCTGACGTGTTTCTCCCTACGAAACTGTACCCTGGCAACAAGTGCTCTAAGCGTGAGCTCTTCATTCTCCAGATAAGTGTAAGTTTATTAGGTCTGCACATACGTCAGATGGGGGTCGTACAAAGAAGAAGCTTCCTCGAAGCTCTGCCTGGTTCTGGCATTCGTTTCCCATTTCCTTGTGATTGAACGGTTGAAAAATCTTTCGCCGCCTGCTGTCGAACGAATGCAAACTATCCCACACAATTAAGCAATTGATTAGAATCGATGGTTCCCTGAGCTT